ATAATCTTGAAATATGATTTAATTCTTTATCCTTATTAATTCAAGATTTATTTTTTCTCTTGTGTTGATGAATTGATGAACTTTATGTGCTTAAAAGATATATATTGATTATTTGTTTATCTATATTTTTGGTCAAGATATGTACTCATATGATGATTGATTCAATTTGACTTTAATGCTTATAGTTTAAAATGCTTGAATTATTTATCTCTTGATTGTGAAAGACATTTTATGAAATATGCTTATTTTTGTGCTTAAATGTTTTATTAATTTTATGAAATATTATGGATCTTTGTGCTTAATTGATATATCTCTTGATTTGTGATTTTGAATATGATGAACTACATGCTTATAAATGATATGTGTTATTGGTTCATCTATTGTTCTTGTCAAGTATGTGCATATATGATAAATATGATTTTTCTTGACTTAACATGGTTGCAGCATGACTTAAGTAAACGAATTTCTTATGATGCTTATTTTTAGCTTAAGTCATTGTTGATTATGGCCTATAATTTGTGTAGACATATTTATGCCTTAGTGCTAAAATTTTCTTGAATATCTTTTTGATGATAAATATGTCTTCATTGTGTTTTTAGTTTTCATATGGCCTAAAAATTATTTTGACATATTTCTTGGTGATTTATTGAACATACATGAATATTGAATATGTCTATTTTGTGTTCATGAATGATCCAATTTTTTTTTATTTTTTTACATTACATGAAAACTTTTACTTTAGTGCAATTCTTGTGCTATTTGATGTTTAAATTGATATATAACCTCTAGCTTAAGTATATATCTCCCTTGTAATTGATAACTTGTGCTCAGTGAATAAATTTTCTTTTGCCTATAATGACTTAGAATATGAAATTATTTTCTAACAATTGGTATAATTTTGATCAATTGATTTTCTTGATGCTTTTAATGAAAATTTTTTATTAAAAATTTTTTTAAGTCTATGCTAGGAGAACTTGAAATGAGCATGAACGAGCTTACATTTTTGGAATTTCAAGTTGAACAAGTAAAGCAAGTCATCTTCATCAATCAAACCCAAATACATCAAAGACTAGCTCAAATGTTGTGGAATGGAGGATTTAAAATCTCACTCAACTACAATGAGCATAACAACATAGCTTGATAAGGATAAATGTAATTGTATTGAATCTATGCTATGTGCCTATGATGTATAATATTTAATGCATGATTTCATAAATGCTTGCTTTGATATGTACAAAATGAGATATTATGTTTGGATTTATGAACACATTGCACAAATTAATCACCAAGCCACTTAGTAGATATTGTTCTAACATTTTTGAAAGTTTGGATTGATTAATTCACCTTCATTGATATTCATGCCTAGTTCTTGATTGCTTCGATTAATAGTTTTTATTGCATGAATATTTGTTTGAATTTTTGGACTTGGATATGAGTTGAATATATTGATTTTTTGATCTTTCAATTGCTTTGACTCATGGATTATGAACTTACAATTTTAAAATTTTATATACATGTTCATTGATTGACATTATTGAGATGGCAAGTACCAAATTATGCCTAAATGCTTGCATATTTTTTCAATTAGGTATATTGCTTATGTATTTTGCATATACTTGTCTGATTTTAATTGAAATACATGATTGAATATTTGTATATGTTTGAGTTAAATACTTTGTTTTGCATTAAAATAATTTAGATTATAATTGAATAATTATGCTTTTATTATTTATTTGCTATAGCATATGTGCTCATCATGTTTGAAAAATCATGTTTATATAATCTTTGTTATGACATTATGATAATTGAACCTCATTGCTCATTAGTACTTATGATTTATTATATATATATATGAGCTTTTTGTTCTTGTTTGGATATGATAGCTTATGAAATATTGCTACTATCATTTATGCATGTATTGAATGAATCTTTCATATGCTTGGAATATGTGTGCTCTATGACAGTTGTTAAATAAAATTACTAACAATTGATATCAAAATTACTAAAATTTTTTTTTTAACTTTTATAGATACTTGTTTATGTGCCTATCCTTGATATAGCTTATACTTTTCATGTAAAATTATGTGTGCCTTAAATTGATTAATCCTTATTTTGAAATGAGAAGCAATATTGGAATACAATTTGCTTGATTTGTTTTGTGATAACAATTGGTATGCTTTTTGACGATATATCTTTAACAATTGGTATGAGCTTATATGCATGTGCTTAAATTTATGCTTAATTGTTGTTGATATTTTAGGTTCTAAGCACATCTTATGATAATATGATTTATGAGTAGATTGTATATCATTCATTATCCTTTACTCATAAATTTCATATAGTAAATTTGATGACTTGTGCTAAAATGCTAAAATTGGATACACTTATACTTTTATGCTTGAATACATGTATGTGAACTTCATTGTGTATATTATACTTGATTACATGCATTCAAAATACTATTGATATTATTGGTATCAAGCATTTTGTCTTATGCCTTGAATTGATCTCTCTTTCTTTTGAAATGACAAAAATGAAGAGAGAGTTTAGAGATATTTTTTATTGTATGCTTATTACAATTGATATAAGAGTTTAAACATTTGGTATAAAGAGCATAAACAAAAATGAGGAGAAATTTTTTATGAATATATTTGTTAATTATGTCTCTTTGTGTTTATTTGCTCATTAATATGCTCATACCTTTTTGCTATGACAAAAAGGAAAAAAAATATCATATGGATAAATTTGCTTATGCTTGACATGCATATGTTTGATTGTGCTTATTTGATATATATGCTCTAACATATGTTTGGTGAGTTGTGTTGGATTAGGATGCATAAATTAAGGGGGAGTTTTCCAAAATGTCTTTCAAAATCTTAAATGTTTCAAAGAAAATTTTTCATTAAGCAAATTTATCTTTAAGTTTTGTCATATCAAAAACGGGAAAGATTGTTAGCCTTGAATTGATCTTTATTTTGAAATGATAAAATATTAAAGCTAAATAAGCTTGATCAAGATTTTGAAAAAGATTTATTTAGTACATGTTCTTAAGTTTTATATTTTGGTATTAAATAAATAATATGATTTTCAAAGTTTAAACAAACCTTTCTTGGTTTCATATTTCTCAAACTAAATCTATCTTTAAATATTATTTATTTAAGCTTAAATGAAAGTCCACTTATTGGTTTTAAAGTGAACTTATTCATTTTGGACTTAATACAATTTTGATAATATTGGTTTTGAGAAAAAGATTAACTTATTAAAGCTGTTTTACAAGAATAAAATTTTCCAACATTGAACTTATTTTATTTTTTTGTATTAATTCACAAAGTTTTAATATTTAAATTTTATATGGTTGGAAAACTCTTTGAGTCTACTTTCTAATGGATCAAACAAAATCAAAATTCAAATTTTTTAAGAAAAGATTTTAAATTTTTACTAGACACTCTACAATTGTCAAAAAAACTGCACAAGAGGTAAATTTGAAAATTCACTATAATTCGTACTCAATGAATTAGGTGATGAATTTTATCTGATAGAAAGACCTTTAAGTCTAGTTTCTAAATCTTTAAATGATTTGTAATTTGGATTTGTATAACTTAAGATATGATCAAATTAGTGAGTATAGTGTAAAATAATAGATAACCACACAGTTACTGACAATATCGATCCCTTCATGGAAGGGATCGATTGGGTCGTGATTTTGAAAGACAAATTAGTTCAAAACATGAACCAATCGATCCCCTCATGGAAGGGATCGATCGGGTCTGGGCAAATACATATCCAATGACTATTTTATCAATCATTCAACGGCTACTTTCATTTCCTAAACATTCTTAACGGTTATTTCTTCAATTTTTCTATAAATTGGGCATTCCAACACACCAAGAAGATTGATGAAGCAAGAGAGCAAATGCTAACAAGTTATATTTTTATTTTCTCTTAGAATCAAGAGTTTTTAGAACTTAAATTTAATATCTTTTATATTTTTTGTATCCAAAATATTGTTGTGTTTCATTCATCATTTTCTTTGTACTTCATTCAGCAAACACTCAACCTTGAGAGGTATTTTAGTTTGTAAAAATTATTTTGGTTATTTTGTAAGTAATAAGTATGTATCCTCTTGATATTTTAAGGGTAAAAGTTACTATCTAAGCCTTTAAAAAAAAAAAGAGATTTAGTACAAGATAATTTTGTATCTTCTAAGAGTTTTTCTTCAATAGTGGATTGAAGTCTTGGTGTATACAACCGAGAAGAGAAGACGTAGGTGCTTTGTGGAGAAGGACCGAACCTCTATAAATCATTGTGTTTGATTTCTCTATCCTTATCTCGTTACAATTTATTGTTGTTTATATTTGATTTTAGGTTTATTAATTATTTTTGTTTGCATTATATTTTCATCAAAAATGCTTATTATTTTAATTTTTATTCAATTATATTAAAATTATTTGTTTGAAAAGAATTTGAAGAGATCTAATTTACCTATCTCTTAGACTACTATTTCATCTAAAAAATTGATAAAATTGATTGCTATTCCTTCTAATAAAATCTAATTTATTCTTTAAAATCCTAGAGTGCTAATTATTATCATAGATTTGACACTAAACCTTAAATATATTATTTGTCATTCGTTGTTGCCTTATATTTTCTAGGTTTAGGAGAAGAGAGATTTGATTTTTTTAAGCATAATATTATGTATTAATTATTGAATTTATGGTATGTAATGAATAAAAAAATTTTAAGATTTTTTAATTATTTTTTCTTATTAAGCTTGAAAGATATGAGAAATTATGCTCGATTTATTTTTTTTTTCAGTGAAAAAAAATTCTCGTATTGCTTGATCGAAAGATTTTGGTTTTTTAATTAAAACACATTAAAAAAAAAAGCGTAGTAATTGCAACCTATTCCAACATTATCAACTCTCCATCTGGCACGCTTAGCACGCTCGCAATAGATTATTATTAATCCCACAACTCTTTTTATTTTTAATCATTGTTTGACCACAACTTGACCGTTGCTAACGCCGGCACTAACCCCCACAAATATCCCTTCACGAGAACAGATTCTCCGTTTCATTTTCCGTCACGATATTACATTTTTAAAGGAAAAAACTGACTTTTTTTTTTTTTTCTGTAAAAGCCACAACATCACAACAGTGTAAACATATGGGATGCAGTTTTCTTGTCTCGTGGAAATAGCCTGCGAAATTAATTAATTTCCCTTTTATTACATTTCTTCTTACTAACGCCATTCTTTTTTTTTTTTTTTTTTTAATAATATTTGGGTAGATTTTTTTTCAGTATCTTAAGCTGCTTTTTTCAGTGACCAATTGTTCTCTCTGTTTCTTTCTTCTTCACTTTTGCTCTTTTTGAGGGTCTCTTCGCGCGCTTTAAGACCACAAAAGGGGAAGGATTAGGAGGCTTCACGATAATTTCTGTTTTTTTTTTTTGGTTTCAGTGAGTTCTAGAAATGGAGAGAAAGCAGGGTTTCTTTTCGGTGGTCAGGGGGTTGTCTCCGAGTCGGTCGCGAGCAAAGAGTCCGGCGAGGAGTGCGTCACCAATGTCGAGCTTACTGCGGCGGAGGAGGAACAATAATAGCCACTATGTGTCGCAGCCGGAGCCGTTAATTTTTAGGTCTGGGAACCTGAGGCCAGCGGAGACTTTGTCGCCGTTGAAGGAAGGTCCCGATCCGGATGGAACGGACGGTGGAGATTCGAGGATGGAAGGTAGGTGGTCCCAGTGGATGAAAGGTCAGCTGGCACGCGCTCCTTCCGTTTCGACTTCAACGTGTAAACGCTCCGATCTGAGGTTGTTGCTTGGAGTCTTGGGTGCGCCTTTGGCGCCTGTGCACGTCAGCGCTTTGGAGCCTTTCCCACACCTCAGCATTAAAGATACCCCAATTGTTAGTCCCCCACCCCTCTCTCTTTTTGTTCCCTAATGCTGCATTTAATTGCTTGGTTTAAAAAGCTCTAATTTTTAAAGTCAGGTGAAACTTTCGCCGAAAGTGCTGGAATTTGGTTATTAAAGTCTTTTACTAAGATTTTAATGTTAGGTTTGACGTTTCCTTCACGTCTTGAGAAATGGGAAGGAGTAAAATAAATTAATTCATAATTTTTGTGAACAAATGTTAAGCTCTGCATGTTGATATAGTAGTTAAATGATATAACTTCATCTACCCGGACGATCAAAGGGTCTTTTTTTTTTTTTGGCAATGTGTTTGATTTGCTATTTGCTTTCAGTGGTTTATTGATCAAGGAGGAGAAAAAAAGGTTAGATTTTTATGGGATTATAATATGATGGAGTTGTTTTTGAATCTGGTTCTGCTGTTGGGTTTTTTATGCATGTTTCAGGTGCTCATTTTGGGGCAGAAATAAAGCTAAATGGAGGAATTTGTTTAGTACTGCTTTTTTTTAGGGTTCTAGGTTCCCATGGAAGTAACTCTTCTTCTTTTTATAATTTTTTCAGGAATCTTCATCTGCTCAATACATATTACAGCAGTATACTGCTGCTTCAGGTGGGCAAAAGCTTCAAAACTCCACCCACAATGCTTATGCTATGGGAAGGGTGAGAATGATAGCTTCTGAGTTTGAGACGGCTAACAAGGTCATTAAGAATCGGAATTCTTCTAAAGCTGCAGAGTCAGGTGGGTTTGTCTTGTGGCAAATGAATCCGGACATGTGGTATGTGGAGCTTGCACTTGGTGATAGCAAGGTTCATGCAGGGTGCAATGGGAAGCTCGTGTGGAGGCACACTCCTTGGCTTGGTGCACATGCTGCTAAAGGGCCTGTAAGGCCACTGCGCCGTGCACTTCAGGTAAAGTTGTTGTCTTTGCTTATTTAGTGCTCTTTCATCTAAATTTATTTCTCGTTATGCATAATCATTTACCCAATGATTCAAAACTCTATTCTTGTTCAGGGTCTTGATCCAAGAACAACAGCAAGCATGTTTACAAATGCAAGATGTATTGGTGAAAAGAATATAAATGGGGAAGACTGCTTTATCCTCAAGCTTTGTGCCGATCCTGTAACGTTGAAGGCCAGGAGTGAAGGACCTGCTGAGATCATAAGACATGTTTTATTTGGCTACTTCAGCCAGAAAACAGGGCTTCTTCTGCACTTGGAAGACTCACATTTAACCAGAATTCAGAACAATGGGGGCGATGCTGTGTACTGGGAGACTACAATCAATTCATTTCTTGAGGATTACAGACCTGTTGAGGGAATAATGATTGCTCACTCGGGTCGCTCTGTGGTGACGCTTTTCCGCTTTGGAGATACTGCAATGAGCCACACTAGGACCAGGATGGAAGAAGCATGGGCAATTGAAGAAGTGGCATTCAATGTTCCGGGCCTGTCAATGGACTGTTTCATACCCCCAGCTGAAATAAGATTGGCTTCAATTAGTGAAGCCTGTGAATTCTCTCAGGGTCCAAGGGTAAAAACTACTGTGGCTACTGCACCATGTCGAGCCAAAGTTAGTACACTAGATAAAAGTTCATGACCCAGATGGTAACAAGTGTCATGTGAAAGATGGATATTTAAGGAAGAGGGCTTTGGCAAAGTATCACACGACTAGATGTAATACTTTTAGTTGACTAACTAATTAGAAGGTAAAATCGGAATTGTAGTTGTCTTGTCTGTGAGAATTTTGTATTGTATCAACGTCTCTTTAAATTTGTAAATACAGGACAGTGATCTTCATATTTTCGCAGGTTAATACCAATGTAGTTTTTATCCCCCAAAGGAATGCCATTAAGGAATCAGTAGTTGCTTTTTTTTTTTTTCTGGGTGACTGGCTAACTGCTCGCTAAGGTTAACATTTCTTTTCACGTTTATTAAAGGCCACTTCTCATTGTGTTCTTATGATCTCTCTTCTAGTAAAAGGAATAAGACCAAACTAATTTTCTAATGCAAAAGAGGCAAAAGCTTTATGGTAAATACATATGACATTGAACTTTAGCCGGATGGTTCTTGAGGTGTTTATGTGCCTTTATGGAGTGCTTTGAGAGAAAATTAGGAAAAGCCAACCATCACGTATGTTCAGTCCAAGTATCCAAGGGCTCGAAAATGGCTATATAGGTGAGGAGGGTAAAAAGGGGTCGTCCAAAAGCTTGTTATATGTCTTGTTTTATGCCATAGTGCAAATGTAGTGGAATTTTTGTGTCATAGGGCGAGCGCGATGGAATGTTTTAACAATGACGAGGCCAAAGCTTGCTTTGCAACTTCCATCACATATTTCTGAATACCAAGTTGTAAAGTATAAAGAGTGGGTGGGCTGTGCACTTCTCAAGTTCTTTACGCCACACAATCGTAGGTAACAAAATATGGCAAGTTGCCTGAGAACTGAAACTTCTTATTATTGTTTTTATTAGTTGTTGAATTACCCAATTAAGTTAACAACTCCAAATCCTACATTTCATGAAGACACAAACCTTAGAGTTAGTTCAAATTTGAGAAAGAAGTTTTAGCATGGTTGAGCGTGGCCTGCATTTAGCGTGCAACGGTATAGCGTTGGGCTTGATGAATCCAGCTCCAGCAATCGTATCAATCATCTCATCACCAAACCTCGACAACTCAAAGCACTGAATCAATGACCCAAGTGTCAATGCCCTCTCCAGGACAACCCCTCCTCCCTGCTCCAAATGGCATCGACTTGAATCCATCTCTTGCACCCTCTAGTCCTTCAAACCTCTCTGGCTTGAATCTTGTTGGGTCCTCCCAAGTCTTGGGGTCACTCTGTAGGGCCCATAAATTTACCAATTGCATCGTGCCACTTGGAACTAGGAAACACTCTACCATGCATTCCTCTGATGATTCATGAGGTACCAGCATTGGAACTGGTGGGTACATTCTCAAAGTTTCACTGATGATGCTGCGGAGGTAAGGAAGTTCAACCAGGTCGGACTCATCAATTAGACGCTCATGTCCCACGGTGTTGACAATTTCAGTTTGAGCCTTTTTAAGCACTTCTGGGTGGTTTAGCAAAAGTGAAAGCGCCCACTCCATAGTGTTAATTGAACTTTCCGTTCCTGCCATCAATGGAATCTATCCTAAAATTGTGAGATCATTGTATTATCAATAAATCAAAGAAGAAAGATATTTGAATTATTAATTATATTTACCATGTAATATAAGAACAAAGAAGGGAACATATAGATCTTAGAAGCATGAGGCCTTTAATGATCTCATCTGTGTAATACTCAGATTCTGATTCTTGCAGTGACAGCAAAATCTCAATCATGGTCTTCTTCCTTTCTCCATCAGGATCACTCCTCATTTTTCTTCTATACTGTTCTATCAGATCTTGCATGAATTTATCTCTCGTTTTTCCACACGCCATGAATCTCATCTCCAGCTTCCTGGACTTAAGCCATGGTAAGAAGTCACCTAAGTTTGTAGGAGAACTCAACTCGAGCGCCTCATTTTGAATCTCTCGAAACTTTCTGGCTTCCTCAACATCTTCCTCGTTCTCACGGCCACAATACCTTTTTCCTTCTATCAACCTCATCATCACATTGAAAGTCAACTCAAAGAAGGCTCTCTTAAATTCAACAGGTTCATCTTGATGCCTAAGAGCTTTCTCATCAATGACTTTACCTCATCCATGCGTACGCCTAACAGCAATTGGAGGCGGCTAGTTGACAAAAAGCTTGATTGATGCAATTCGTCTGAGATTTCGCCAGTGATCACCGTAAGGAGCCCCAAGAGAGGGCGGTGTAGTCGTAAGCCAAGTGTTTTCCAATGAGCAAGTGAGGGCTATTGGCGAAAATGATGTCATTCTTGGTGAAGCAGTCTTCAGCAGCAGACGGTGATGTGACAACGAGGACTGGACGTGACCCGAATTTGAAGAAGAGTAGAGGGCCATTACGATTTGCAATGGTAGACAGTGTTCTGTAGAGGGGTTTTTTCAAGAGGTAGAGGTGGCCAATGATGGGTAGACAAGGAATAGGACTTGGAGGAAGGTTATAGATTCTGTTTAGGAAGTGGTTTGTGAAAACATACAACGCTATGGATATTGGTAGGTACAGATACCAGCTCGCCATGGAAGTTCATTAAGCTTCAAAATGTAGCATGCTCTGTTTCATGACAAGGCAAGGTTTTATTTTTTATTATCCAACCCCTTTCTGACGTGTGTGGTAGAAAAGAAAGAAAATGAATGCAAAGGAAGGATAAGAAAGGGAAAGACAAGGAAAGGGAAGAATTTTGTTTTTTTCTTTTTTGATAATTAAGAACTAAGGATTAGTAAGAGAAAAAATAAAAGTTAAGGAGATTAATCATTTCTTTTTTGCTTAATATGACAATTTTACACTTACACACTTTTACTATAAATTCCTATAATATTTAAGATTCTTTTTTGACCAATAATATTGAAGATTCTTAATTTTATTTTTGAAGTCTAGAATTTTATACAAGATCTAATAATTTTAAAAAATTATAATACTCCATCCTTCCATTTTTGTTGTCAATCTTTTTTTTCTTATGTCTTAAAATTATTTCTTTTTTTTTAACACTTAAATATCTTTTTTTTATTTTTCAAAATTATTTTTTTAGAATTTTTTTTTACTTGTTGGCATTAAAAATTTTGAAACATCAAACTTATAAAAAAAATTAATATTATATATACACCAAAATCAAAACTTTTTTTTTTTAAATTCTATGAAAATAATGAGGGAAATACAATATGGGAAGGGTGAAATAATTTTTTAAAATCATATATATTTTTTATTCAATGAAAATCTAATAAAAATAATGGTTAATTTATCATTACAACATAAGTAAAAGAAATGATAAATAAGGAACTACAAAATTAATGAGCAACAAATATCTATTACCACTCTTGGAACTACCAAATACATAAGTGAACAAATAATAATAAAATATTGACCGCACTATAAATATAATTATAAACAATAAGAGAAAATTATCATGAAAAATTTAAGAACATAGATTTTGAATTGAGTTAATGACAAAAATGATTCTTAAACAATAGCTAAATGTTCAAATGGGTACTCCAACATTTCAGGAGTAATGTGTTAAATGAACTAATAAACTAAAACGATGAACGAGCTCTTTTCCCCACCCTTTCCTTCCTTCAGTTTTCCTTTCTAACAAACACATTATTAATGGACTTTACCAATAATGGATGAAGACAATGACTTAGACTTTTGCTTTCCAATTGGTCAAATACCATGACTTTGTTTCTCAGTTATCGATCAACTGAGCCACCAATAAACAAAGATTCTAAATTGAACAAGAGGCTTATGATGATATCTTGTGTTTATAATTATCAGTTTGTGTCCACAAAAGCTGGAGATAAACTGTTTTGAATGGGTATCATGATCTTTCTTTTGATAATAATTTTAATCAAATTCAATTCAATCCATGAAATCAATCATACACTCTCCAAAGTGAAACTACTCTATTTTGCAATCAAATTAGACCAAAATGTTCTCTGCTCCATGCCTCAGATAATCACTGCAGAATTAAGGGTAATAGAATAGAAACACCAAGAATTGAATCCAGGTGTTCATCATTTTCGAGGTTTCAACACAAGAATGAAAACAGATGCATAAAAACTCAAAACAATTTGCTATTAGTCTAAATAAATCCAGCTTTAAGGAGTCTAGTTACCCATCATCATCATTAACTAGAGTACAGAAGAGCAAGGCAAAGATTATAAACTTAAACCCTACATTAGGCAAATACATATGCTTCATCAGTTCACTATATCAACAATATTGTTCCATATTCTTCATAAAGTAAAATATCATAAAAATCCACTAAGCTCAAGCAGCTTTCATGAAAGCTTCACTTTTCAAAGTTCAAACTCCAATATACGGGGGAGAAATCACAACTTTATAGAGAATCGGGTTTAAATTTGAGAAAGCAAATTAACAAAGGGTTGGCGTGGCCGACACCTCGCTTGCAAAGGTTGAACCTTGGGCATGGTAACGCTAGCCCCTTCCGTCATATCCACCATCTCCTTACCAATTCTCTCCCACTCAAAGCATTGAATTATTGACCCCAATGTCAACCCAACCATGCGCATGGCCAATCCTTCTCCAGGACAGCTCCTCCTCCCTGACCCAAATGGCATTAACTTGAACCCAACTTTAGACCCTACCAAATCTTCAAATCTCTTGGGCTTAAATTTAGTGGGCTCATTCCAATCGATAGGATCATTATGTATGGCCCAAGCGTTCACCAGTAACATGGTGCCACGCGGTATACTATACCCTCCGACCACGCAATCTTTCGATGACTCGTGTGGTATTAACAGCGGAACGACTGGTTTGATCCGCATAGTCTCGCTTATGATGCAATAAAGATAAGGAAGATTAGCCAAATCTGATTCGTCCATCAACCGATCTTGTCCAACCACGTTATCCATTTCAGTTTGTGCCTTCTGCAATATTTCCGAATGGTTCAAAAGGAAAGACATCGCCCACTCCAATGTCCCCGCTGAAGTATCAGTTCCTGCAAGAAGCAAAACCTGCGTCATTTAAGGAACCAGATTAGGACACTGTTCAATGAAACAAATCAAGAACAAGAAAATTAAAATTAAAATTAAAATATTGTATATTGCAGCTTACCATCATGAGACTTCTAATAGTTTCATCCTTGTAGTTTTCAGGCTCTTGTTCTTGCAAAGACAACAAGACTTCAATCATGTTCTTTTTCTTGTCTGTGGATAAGGAACTTTTCCCATTATTCACTTTACTTCTCCATTCTTCTACCAATTCCTGCGCAAATCTATCTCTGTTTTGATGTAAGTTGATCATCCTTTTCTCGCTCTTTTCAACCCACTTCAACACTGGCAAAAAATCTCCCATATTTGCTGAGTCACCCAAAAGAAATGTTTCCCTCACTATTTCACGAAACCTACTGGCTTCCTCAACTTCCGCCACGTTGTCACCGTAGTATCTTTTTCCCGCTATCATCCGCATCATCACGTTCAGCGTTAGCTCGAAGAGTGTGGATTTCAACTCCACCGTCCGATCTTGATTCTTGAACAGCTTGCGAAGAAGCAAGCGGACCTCATCAAGGCGCGTGACGGAGAGCAACTGGAGACAATTGGTTGAAAGAAGTTGAAGAGAAGCTATTCGCCTCAGGTTCCGCCAGTTGTCACCGTAGGAAGACCATACAAGGCTGGTGTAGTTATAACCCAAATGCTTACCAACAAGAAGTGAGGGGCGGTTGGCAAAGACGATGTCATTTTTGGTGAAGCATTCCTCGGCTGCGGATGGAGATGAGATGAGGAGAACAGGGCGAGAACCAAAATAGAGGAAAAGTATTGGGCCATGTTTGTTAGAGATTTTCGCCAGGGAACGGTGGAGAGGTCTCTTGAGAAGTAGGTGGAAGTGGCCAATGATTGGTAAACTGGGAAAAGGGACTGGAGGATGGTTTTGAAACTTGTGGAGGAAGTGGGTAGTGATTGAATAAAGGGCTAGAAAGAGGAGGATTTGTAGAAACATGATGGATAACCTGGAGGTTTGATGGATTTCTGTTCTGAAAGATAATAGTATCGGCTGTTCGAGGCTTATCGTTGAGATAAATTTAGTTCCAAGAAGAAAATAATTTTTTTTGGATAAGTACAGGTGTTTTATTATTCAAAGGAAGCAAGGAAAAAAGAATATGCTATTGCAGTAAAAAATTAACAAATACAAAACAATACTTGTGTACAATCAAGGAAACCCAATTTTCCAGTTATAACAAATGGAGAGACGCCCCTAGTCACCCCTTGCGTCATTCCACCTAGCCTGAATCTGACAGTGTCAAGAATGCAGGAAAAAAAAACTTTTAACTTTGACATTTATGTTTAGTCTGAACTAATAATTACAATAATATAAAAATAATAGATAATAATTAATAATAAAAAATATAAAAAAATAAAATACATTAAGATTTACATAAAAAATCTTCTAATGTAATGAAAAAAATCACGGATCATCAAAAAAATTTTCACTATCAAATAATAGTTATATAAAGTTCTTTTCTAGCTAAAACTAGAGTTAATCAACAATTAGAGAAACAATTAGAGAAATCTCACAAAATAAGTGACTCAACAAATACACCCTGAATTTGTTTCTAGAGAGCTTCAAACTCTATCTTCATCGTTCAGAATGTAGAACTCTGAATCATAAACCTCCTGACAAGGTCCCAATTCAATCGGATCACGGATCAACTTTCGTTCAACCAACTCTCTTTTTTCCTTTTTTCTCTGCTTTTGCTGGCTTTTCTTTTTTTTTTACTTGATTTTCGACACACACACTTAAAACGACCCACCTCTTTTTTATTAAGTAGCTAGGGCTCTGTGTAAAATGAAAGATCAAGACCCATGACCTTTACTTGGTCTAAAATTACTTACATGAGGCTGGACCCCATTTTCGTAATAATCTCCCCCTCCAACCCTATTAGGAGGAGATTCATCACCATAACAGTTTCATTTGGAACTTACCTTGGCCAGAGAACTCATTTCGGTCAAGTTACTACAAAGCTCAAGCTTTTTCTTAAGGAAGTATCTTAGTCAACATATCTACTACATTCTTATCAGTATGAACTTTTTTCAATAGCATCTGCTGTTCTTCAATCACTGAACGTAACTATGATATCTAACATCAATGTGCTTTGTTCTAGCATGGTACATAGTATTCTTACTCAAATCTAAAGCACTTTGGCTATCACAAAATATCACATACTCTTTTTGATTCAACCTCAATTCAAGAAGAAAATATTTCATCCAAAATATTTCTTTACATGCTTCAGTTACTGTAATATACTCAACCTCTGTAGTTGACAAAGCAACGCACTTCTGTAACTTAGATTGTCAAGATACAGCTCTTCTTGTAAAAGTGAACAAATATCTTGAAGTAAATTTCCTACCATCAAGATCGCCTGTCACATCAGCATCAGTAAATCCTTCTAGAACTGGTTATGAAACTCCATAAGTCAAGCACATTTTTGAGGTACCCATTAAATATCTAAAAATCTATTTCACTGCTTCCCAGTGAACCTTTCTCAGATTAGAAAGAAATTTGCTCACTACACCAACTGCATGAGCAATATCAGGCCTTGTACAAACCATAAGATACATTAAAGAACCGACTGCAGAAAAATAAGAAATACTAGACATAGCTAGTTGTTCTTTCTTAGACACTGGATAAGATTTCTTACTTAGATAAAAATGGTTGGCAAGTGAACTGCTAACTGATTTAGCATGTTGCATGTTGAATCTATCAAGCACTCGTTCAACATACTTTTCCTGTGACAATCACAGCTTTTCAGCTCTCCTATCTCGGATAATATCCATACCAAAAATCTACTTTGCTGGACCTAAATCCTTCATATCAAAGGACTTAGATAATTGTTCTTTCAACTTGTAAATCATACTAGCATCTTGTCCTACAATCAACATATAATAATAGGATAATGAAGTTACCATTAGAAAATTATTTAACATACACATAAGAATCTGCTGCTATTTTTTTATAGCTAAGACTCATCATAAAAGAATCAAACTTCTTGTACCACTATCGTGGAGCTTGTTTCAAGCCATACAAGTTTTTTTCAATTTGCAAGTTAAGTGCTCTTTCTCTTTCACTTCAAAACCCTCAGGCTGATTCATATAAATGTCCTCCAGTGAATCACCATGCAAAAATATAATTTTAACATCAAGTTACTCAAGCTCAAAATTCAAACTAGATGTTAATCCTAATACCACTCGAATAGAACTCATCTTTACAACTGAAGTAAAAATTTCATCGAAATCGATGCCTGGTTTTCTGAGAAAAACTTTTTACTACCAATCGAGCTTTGTACCTCACTAGTTTGTCACCATCATTTTTTAACTTGAACACCCATTTATTCTTTAATGGCCTCTTCCCTATTGAAAGTTTAACAAGATCATAAGTACCATTCTTTCACAATAACTTCATCTCTTCTTTCATTGCTTTTAACCAGTACTCTCTATCCGAAGTAGTCTGCACATCTTGAAAGCTTTCTGGCTTCCCTTCACTGGTAACTAAAATAAAATCTAAACTTGGATACCTGGTAGATGACTTACGCCTTTCTAGTAAATCTTCTGGGCTGAGACTCTACATCACTTGATGCCAAAGGTAGCTCCTCCTGCTCAACACTCTCAGGTAGAGAAGATTGCTCTCCCTGCTCAAAACTAATTGCATCTGGCTCATCACCAACTGTGGTTGGCTCATTCATATCCTCAAGTTCTGTTTCTTGCTCATTTCTACCATCTGTGGCTCTTTCCTGTGAAATCTCTGTCGATGTTGAAACATCACACTCAATAGTAACTCGTGTAGTCTTTTCATTTTTCTTAAGGTCTGCTATGGTTTTTTTCATGAAAGATCACATTTTTACTTTTGACTGTCTTTTTTTTTATTGAATCTCATACCCTGTAACCAAATTCTTCATCATCATATCCTACAAACACACATTGTGTGGCTTTACTGTCAAGCTTTGATCTCTGTTCTTTCGACACATGCATGAATGCTTTACATCCAAAAACTTTCAAATGAGAATATGAAGTATCTTTCATTGTCCATACTCTTTCTGAAATGTCAAGGCCCAAAAACACTTGTCGTAACGTCTAGATCCGGGGATCTATCACTAGACATTGACTTTTGGGAGTCGCCACCAATCTTTTTTATCTAGGTGTGATTGGCCACCTAAGGAATCTGTCCTTTCAGGGAACACCTAAGCTTAAGGGTCCCTAAAAGAATAGGTTCAGGTCTACTAACCAGAACAGGGTTCGGGAGTTCGGTTACGTGTGAGGAAGGTTATAGCACCCTCACAACGCCCATCAAAAGATGGTACCAGCTTAAATTTGTGTTATCCAAAAGCTTTAAAATTTTACCAAGTAATTAGTTATTGGAAATTATTCTCAATTGACTCTAATACTTTTAGCAGAAAATTGAGAAAATTCCCTCACCTCAGGAGTATGCAAGAAAACTACTGTTTCACTTACAGAGGCTCCGTCGTCGGATTATTTAAAGAAAAAAAAATCAAAATTAAGATAGAAATGAAGGAAAGAATGATTTTTTTTTTGTAAGGAAAATTGATACTTTCAACTTTTCCCTAAAAATATTTTTTGGAAATTTTGATTTTCAAGGAAAATTGATACTTTCAACTTTTCCTCAAAAACCCTTTTTTTGAAAATTTATTTCTAAGGAAAATTGATACTTTCAGCTTTTCCCCAAAAATATTTTTTTTTGAAATTTTGATTTTTAAGGAAAATTGATACTTTCAACTTTTCCCCAAAAATATATTTTTTTGAAATTTTGATTTTTAAGGAAAATTGATACTTTCAACTTTTCCCCAAAAATATATTTTTTTTTTGGAAATTTATTTTTCTTTTAAGGAAAATTGATACTTTCAACTTTTCCCTAAAAATATTTTTTTTCGAAATTTATTTCTGAGGAAAATTGATACTTTCAACTTTTCCCCAAAAATATATATTTTTTTTTTATTTCTGAGGAAAATTGATACTTTCAACTTTTTCCCAAAAATATTTTTTGAAAATTTATTTCTAAGGAAAATTGATACTTTCAACTTTTCCCTAAAAATATATTTTTTTTGGAATTTTTTATTTTTATTTAAAAAAAATAAAATAATAAAAAATAAATAAAAAGAATATTACATAAACCTAATCTAATAAATAAAAATTAAAATAAACAAAGAAATAAATAAAATAAAAAATTTCAAAGAAAAAAAAAAAAAAAAAACCTGGAGCGGCTCGGATCGCGGCTCGGCTCGGCTCGGCTCAAGGCAGGAAAACGGCTCGGGGGAGCGGCTTGGCGGCTTCGGCTCGGCTCGGCTCGGAGGGGCTGGCACGCGCGAGTCAGAAAGCGGGTCGACGCCCGGGTCGGGTCGGGTTGCGACAAAACGCGCGGATCCTCTGGGTTACTTAAGGCCAAAACGACGTCGTTTTGGGAGGGTATAAAGGCACCTTCCTCCGTTTTTCGGCAGAACGCTCCTCCCCCTCTCTCTCTCTTCTTCCGTTTTCTCTCCCTTCTCTCTAGAAACCGAAGAACACCGGTGCCGGATTCTGGAAATTTTCGCCGAAATCTGGAAATTTCACCGGAAGTTGGCCGGAAAGTCGTCGGTTTCTGGGATTCTTCGTCGGAAACTGGGCAGGTCGCCGAAAACTTCAATTGGCCGGAATTTTCGCCGGAAAATTCAAACTTCGCCGGAATTTTCGTCGGAATCTGGAAATTTCCCAGAAATTTCCAGAAAAAATTTTCGCCAAAAATTTCTAAAAATTTTTTCTCACTCCCAGAACACTCCTAAACTTTTCCTAGCTTCCTATACGCCTCCTTTTCTCTTAAATCAGTAGCTTTGCTTACTGTTTTCTGTGTGTCTCTGAACTGTTCCAGGAGGTGCTTTATATAGGGATTGATCAGGAGTTTCTGATCAATCCCAATTCCTCCTTGGACGGGAATTCAATCTTTGAATCCCACTGGACTCTTCTGATTGAATTCCCACTTCCAATGGGATTCTTCAGCCTTCAATCTCAGCCCTCCAAAATCAAAATAAAAAAAAAACTAGATAATTAGAAAAAGAAAATCAAAAATTAAAAATTAAAAAT